GGATTATTCTTAGTTTTTTGAACTTTCCAGGATCACTTGATTTATCTCTTACAGGAAGCTATTATATTCATTATAAGAAATGTTAGAGTACAGATCCCTTGTAAGGACATGTTAGATTAGATGACTTCTGAGTTGTTTTCAAAATCTCAGACTCTATAATTCTGAAATGGTAAGTGTTCATTATATCTTTCTTAAATGCATGAATGAATTAGTGAGTGAGTGATTGCATGAATGAATGAGTGAGTGCCTCTGCCAGGCAGAGACAAACTAGGAACCCAAATGGAATACTCTTAAATATTCCAATCACAAGAAGGAAACAGCATATGAACAAAGGAGGCCATTATTAGTATAACCAAAATCGGCTACAGTCCTTAGGTTTAACCCTCACATGGCTTGAACATCCTCCTTCCTTAAGCACATTCTTTTTACAGACTTTGTAAATGGTTTCTGATTATCTCCATCTGAGGTGGCTGTATAAAAATTACCAACACGCCCTGACCCTAATGTTTGCTGTAGAGGAGATCAACAGGAACCCTAACCTGTTGCCCAAGCTTACCCTGGGATTCCACCTCTACAACACCTACCACAGTGATGAAAGGACCTTGGAGAGCTCCCCGTGGTGCCTGTTAGGGCAGGGCAAGCTCATCCCTAACTACAGTTGCTGGGGGCAGCACAAGTCTGTGGCTCTTACTGGAGGAGCCACATCAGCTCTGTCTGTCCAGATGGAGACCCTGCTGGAGCTCTACAATTATCCACAGGTGGGTGATATTGACCCTGTTCTTTCCGAGGCTTTATCAGATCCTAGGAGGCAGTGGGATCAGGAGGCCCAAGGTAAAAAATCTACCTCCTCTACATAGTGGCTATGTGACCTTGGCTGAGCCCCTTAATCTCTCAGTACTCTAAAGCTACTCTCAGAGACAATACATTTCAAAGAAGGTAAAAACTTGGACTGGGAGAAGTTGCATCTTGCCCAGAAATTCCTACCACAATGACATCACCAGTATAATTTTGAAAACTTACTCATGGGAGAGAGTGGGCCTGCCCTTGAGCACTGCACCCCCTTTATTATCAAAGACACAGTCAATGTCATCTGACTTCTATCACTGAAGTAATCCTAGCGATTTTGCAGGTCTAATTTCCCACTAACCAGAGAAAGTGAGCATCAGGGGGATGAAACAGCTTCCCCAAAGTCTCAAGTAAAATTGATGGGTGGGCTGAGACTATAACCCATATGTGTGTCATACTTGTTCATTGCTTTAAGCACTACATCATATTATCGGTGTTTCATCCTTATGTGATATATTGTCTATGAATATTATTATCAGTTTTCTTTGCCCAAAAGATTCTTTTTTCAATGGAAGGAATAGTGAGCATTGATATGGAAAGTGCAGGTTCTAGGTAAGAATGATTACAGTGTCTTTTAATTGTTGGAGAGGGGAAAGGAAGGGCACCTTAATCAGATGACCTACTCACAAAAAAAAGGAGCTTACCAATACAAATTTCCACTCTCCCTCACACTATGAAATGCATGACAATATGAATGTCTGAAGTCACAGAGGTGGTTATGCTTCTCAAAGTCTACTTTGGCTTTCACTTCAAAGACCAATCACTGTACCATTGCCTCTAGGCTATTGTGAAAGACTGTGATTGACCCTTAACTCTCACAGCAAAATTAAAGTTTTTCTGTTCATACTCTCTAATGATTCTCTGACCTTTGCTATTATCAGCTGGGGAATATGTATTCTTATCATTTGATTAATTTTTTTCCTATTTGAGCAATTCCTGCAATTAGTGATCACATTATCATAAGCCTGTCATCCAATCGGTTTGGGAAGTCTACAGCTAGTGGGCTGGATTAATTTTGATTGCAAAACCTGTGCCACATTCACAGTGCTCCCCTTGACTATGGCCCCTCCAGTTCTGACTTCTGTAAGCTGACCTTCATTTGCCATCCTTCAGGGCTGGCACTCAGGGTTGCTATTTTAATGAATACCTGCTGAGTTCTCTCTAAATAAGAGCTGTTTGTCTCTCATATCTACTGGGTTTCATATTGTCCATAGGTGTGCACACATTGCATGTACCAATAGCAAGTGGAAATATCTTCACAAAAGTTTTTGTACATTTTTTTTTTGTTTAGGCCACAGAATGAGATCCCCACCTGCCATGGTAATTAGGCCAGGGTCAGGTTAGGGCAGGGGTGGGGAACCTGAAGCCTTCAGGCCACATGTGACCTTCCAGATCATTTTGGATTCAGTCAAAAGGCTATCCTTAAGTATTTAGAAGCCCACATGAGGCCTCAAGGCCTCAGGTTACCTATCCCAGGGTCAGGTGAAGCAGACAATTTCTAGGCAACCTTTTCTGCCCCCTTCCTCTGCAGTCTTTCCAAAAGGCTGCTCAGACACCCAAGCGACTGCTGAATTGGACCCTCCCTTTGGTCCACTCAGATGACCACACTATGCCCCGGGCCACTTGTGGACATGGTTGTACCTTCTCCTTCCATTGTATCCACAACTATTGCTTCATCACTTGCCTGTCAGCACAGGATTTGGAGGTAGGCAAAAATGATAAAAATGGTATGAATTATATTTTGTGCTTAAATCGGATATATGTGAGACAGTTATTTGAAGTAATCAGCCTCATTTTTTTCCCCAGTCATCAGACATGACAAAAATCAAGATGATTGGTGACATCTGTCAATGCAGTGGATGACTGGTGTCTTTGATGGTTAATCAAGCTGTGAGCCGTCATGGCCCATTGGAACAAATTGTTTCCATCCACCCATTCCACTAGGGGCAATCTTCACATGTGTTGGCTGGACATCCCTGTAACTTATTGAAGGGTTTCAGACAACCTCAGTTACTCTCATCTGGTTTAGATCATCTGTAGAAATGGTTTACCAACGTGTGGCCACTGGGCATGCTGCAGTTTCTCGGAGCCAAAGGTGAAAGTTAGGTGAAACAGGCAGACACCAAAGTTGGAAAGCAGCCATGAAAAGGGTTCAGCAGCCCTCACAGCAGAGGTGCTAGTCTTCCCTGAATACACCCTAAACCCCTTCCTTTAAATACTGCTTTGGCTGTATCCCATAAATTTTAGTTTTCTGTTTCATTGCTGTCATTCCCTTTAATGCAATTAATAATTGTATCTATGGTTTATTCTTTGACTCACTTACTCTTTAGGATTAGATTCCTTTCCAATTCAATTTAGTATATCTTTTCACTGTGCTTTATTGAATGTAATTTTTATTGCATTATGATCTGAAAGGGATCTATTGAATATTTATGCTTTTCTCCATTTGGTTATGAAGTTTTTATTCTTTAATACATGGCCAATTTTTGTGTAGGTGCCATGTAATACTGAGAAAAAGTTTTATGCCTTTCTATCCCCATTCCATTTTCTCCAGACATTTGTCATATAAAACATTTCTCAAATTCTATTCACCTCCTTAAATTCTTTTTTGTTTAGTTTCTGGTTAGATTTATCTAGTTCTGAGAGCAAAAAGTTGAGGAATCAGTAGTATAGTTTTATTGGCTATTTCCTCCTATAACTCACTTAACTTCTCCTTTAAGAATCTGGATGCTATACCACTTGTATATATGTTCAGTATTCACATTACTCATTGTCTATGGTACCTTTGTGGAAGCTGTAGTTTCCTTCCTTATCTCTTTTAATTAGATCTATTTTGCCTTTTGCTTTGTCTGAGATCAGGATTGCTATCCCTGCTGTTTTTACGTCAGCTGAGGTATATTAGATCCTGCTCCAGCACCTTATCTTTATTCTGTGTGTGCCTCTTTGCATCAAAGGTGTTTTCTGTGAACGACTTATTGTAGGATTCTGTTTTTTAATCCACTCTGTGATCTGCTTCCGTTTTATGGGAGAGTTCATCCCATTCACAATCACAGTTACAATTACTAACTGTGCATTTCTCTCCTTTCTATTTTTTCCTCCTGTTTATGCTTCTCTCTCCTGTCACCTTTTCCCTCCTTGGCAATGCTTTTCTTCCGAATACAGCCTCCCCCAATCTACCCTCCGTTCTGCCAGTTCCTTCTGCCTCTACTTACCCCATCCCATCCTAATTCCCAGCAGGGCAAGATAGATTTCTATCTCCAACTGACTGTCCCAGTTATTCCCTCTTTGAACCAATTGTAACGAGAGTAGGGCTCAAATGATGTCTCCTCCACATTCCTATCTTCCCCTCCACTGTAATAAGGTTTTTGCACCTTTTCATATGAGATAATTTACCACATTCTATCTTCCCCTTTCCTCTTCTTCCAGTGTAATCTTTCTCACTCCTTAATTTTATTTTTTTCTATATAATCCCATTAAAGTAATCTCACACTCATACCCTCTGTGTACACAACTTCTAATTGTCCTTATAGTGATAAAGTTTTTAAGAGTTACAAATCTTATTAAATCTCATATATTCGATTGTTTCTTTTTTTCACCTTTTCTGTTTCTCTTGGTTCTTGTATTTGAAAATGAATTTTTAAAATTTGGTTCTGGTCTTTTAATTAGGACCACTTGAAAGTCACCTATTTTGTTATATATCCACTTTTTTTTCCTCCTGAAAAATTATATGCAGTTTTTTCTGGGTAGGTGATTCTTGGTTGTAATCCTAACTTCTTTGCTCTTTGAAATATTACATTCCAAGCCCTTTGGTTCTCTAATGGAGAAGCTGCTAAATTCTCTGTAATCCTGACTCTGCTTCCAAGATATTCTTTTTTAAGATTTAAAATTTTTAAAATTTTTATTTTTAATATATGGAATGAAATAAGCATTTTTATAACATTGTACAAAAAAGGTGATTACATATGAAACTGCAAATCTACTATGCTCAAATTGCTATTTCTTTCGCATATACAACAGAATTATCTTCTAAATTTCTTTTTTTCTTTTCTCCCTCACCCCTGTCCCAGAGATGGCTACCACTAGGCACAAAGATGTACATATATATATGTAAAATTATTCTACATATATTTTCTCTTCATGCAGATAGCACCTTTCTTCATATGTCCTTTAAGTCAATCTGGGTATATATTATATTCAAAAAAAGCTCATTTGCTCAAAGTCTTTGTTAAAACAATATTGTTGTTAATGTATACAACGTTATTTTGGTTCTACTCATTTTGGTCTTCATTATTTCATTGAAATCCTTACATGTTTTTCTAAAAATCATTGAGTTCATGATTTCTTATACCACAGTAGTATTCCATCAAAATGATATAGCATAACTTGTTTAGCCATTCCCCAATTGCTGAGTATCCCTGCAAGTCCCAATTCTTTGCCACTACCAGTTAACTTGAGTTCTCTTTGTTTGATGCAAAAACCTAATTTTTCAAGTTCAGTAAGTGTCAAACACATTGTGAATCAATTTTGGGGGGTTAGGAACTTTTGAACTGAATGTGAAATTGAACCCTTCCCCAGTTACTCATGACTTTCTTAATAAGCTGGCTTAATATTTTGTGTTTAGGCATATGAGATCTGAACATGAATGCATAAGCTACCACTTTCAGAATCATAGTGATGATATTTATATTCATCTCACATCTTCATGTACAGACTTTTCTAAATGTCTTATTAAGGAAAAATCAGTGTTCCACTGTCAATGACAAAAACTGCCAGCCTGGACAACTCTGAGTGCAACATGTTGTTTTTCATACATTTTATTCATGACTGACTCTTCATGACCTTATTTTGGGTTTTCTTGCTAAAGATACTAGAGTGGTTTCCCATTTCCTTCTCCAGCTCAGTTTACAGATGAGGAAACTATGTCCAACAAGGTTAAATGACTTGCCCAGGATCACACAGCTAGTAAGTGTTTGAGACTGGATTTGAACTAAGGTCTTCCAGACTCTTGACCTGACATTCTACCCACTGTGCCACCTAGCTGTCCTAGTTCAACATTTAAACACTGCAAATTCACTTTGATATCAACCATGCTCTTTGTCTCATGAACATACACACACACATGCAAACACAAACACACGTGCACATGGTGTTCAATTTTGTTTTGTTATTTTGCATACATATATCATACCCACTACAAGTAAAGTACAATAATTTTAGCTGGGGAATCTACCATAGCAGGAAAAAAGGACAAGAAGTAGGAATATGTTCTCAGTGCCATTTGGGCTTGAGATGTAAAGCACACATTATGAAGCAGATAAAACAGAAAAATCAGATTGTTTTTCTATAATAAACAATTGTCTTCTAGATGGCTTGGGTAAATGAATAAATGCAAAGGTTTAGGGAAAGCAAAATGCATTAGGTATCTCAGTGAAATCCACAGCCTTTCTCCTAATATGGAAAAGATGCCATGGGGAGAATGGGGACTTTTACACACTTAATTTTTACACCATTAAAATAATTGGCCTGTTTAAGTGTCCCTGTGGTTCCTTCATTTTCATTTTTTGAGTTTTGTTGAAAGTTATGATAAGTTCAGTTACAATAAAAAATCTTGATATGTAAAGATAAGTTGTCTAACACTACATTTATATTTATCTCTAATCAACTTCTGGCTTCTTTATGGTTGAAGAAAACCTGGGCTTACCCTAAATGTTTGAGTAATGAAACAACAGGTTACATTGTAGGTCTCTGGATAGACAGGCACACGAAGGGGAAGCAGATGAAAGAGCCAATATTTTCTTGGCATTTCCCACAGTGTGAGAGCCTATGACTCTCCTTGATTTCTGTCTTTTTTTCTATGGCTCATTCTTGGCTTTGCATTGCAGAGGTTTGTTGACAGTCATCCACTACAATTTCTGGAATTACTTTCTCCTCTGAGCTCCACTGACAACCTATAGATGATCTCTAGAGGCACGAACCCATTTCCCAGGCTATTGAAATAGATATCCTGTTCACCCTCATTTTGCGCAATCAGTGACTTCAAAGAAAATTAATTTAAGGTTTTGATTCAGATGTAGTCTCACCCAATTAAAATATCAAATCTAAAATGGAGTTGATTGGTTTCAATCCCACATTTACACTTACATCGTAATCACATTCTTAGATCGCAGATTTCCCAATACTTCTTTCACATCCAGATCACCTTTGGGCCATTTGATCCCATGCTGAGTGACAAGGTGCAGTTTCCTTCTCTTTACCAAATGGCCCCTAGGGACTCTTCCCTACATAAAGGTGTGGTCAGATTGACGACTCACTTTGAGTGGACATGGGTAGCCCTGATGACAGTAGATGATCTGAGAGGTGAGGAATTCCTTCACAAATTGACATTGGAGATGGCAAATAATGGTGTCTATGTGTACTTCACAGAGAAGATCCCTGTTAGTGAGAGAAGATACACAGAATCACACATGGCATTCATGCCCAAGATCATGGCATCACCAACCAGAGTGATTTTCATTCATGGTGACACAGCTTCATTAATGATCTTGAGATATTCACAATTTCCTTTTCTTGCAAATTACAAGGTGTGGGTCACCACTTCTCACTGGGACGTTACCATGAGACCCAGAGATATTGATGGATATAGTTTCCATGGGGCACTTACATTTTCACATCTCACGAGTGAAGTTCCTGGTTTTATGAATTTTCTCAGGACACTGAACCCTGCTAAGTACTCAGAGGACATTTTATTGAAAGAATTCTGGCTCTCAACATTCAGATGTACAGATGACCCTGAAAACCTGAAACAAGAAGAATGTTTAGCAAATGCTTCCTTGGAGACTTTGCCTTTACTTTACTTTGACATAACCATATCTGACTTGAGTTACACCATCTACAATGGTGTTTATGCTGTGGCTTGGACCAGCCATGAAATGTTCCTGATGAAATTAGAAAAAGGATCCATGGTAGAAGAAGAAAGCTGGGTTCCTCATCCGTGGCAAGTAATATTCCTTTAAAATTGTGTGTTTTCCATTGCCAGGCAATGGAAGTCTGACCAGAGTTTGCATAGGCTGGGATCCTCAAAGAGTATTTCAGTTAGGAATCATTCAGCCAACAATAACTTATTAAGTGCCTGCTATGAGTCAGGTACTGTGTTAAGGGCCTGGGATAAGAAGAGAGGTTAAAATAGTCTCTGATTTCTAGTATTTTAGCCCAATGGTGGATATTACTTGCAAAGAACTGTGTATAAGTAAGATACATACAACATAGACTTGAAATAATCAACAGAGGGAATGCATTAAATTCAGGGTGATTATGAAGTGCCCCTACAGAAGGTGGAGTTTTAGCTTCGACTTGAAAGAATCCAGAAAATCCAGGAAGCATAGATGTGGAGCAACAATACTCCAGGCATAAAAGATAATGGGAAGGCCTAAAGCTAAGAGATGAAGTGTCTTTTTTTTTTTTTGACAAACAATGAGGATGCCAGTGTCACTGGATGCTGGAATATATTTTTGGAAAGTAGGGGGCAGGTTGTGGAGGACTCTGGAGTAAAACAGAGGATTTCATACTTGATGCTGCAGTTTATAATCATGTGAATTAATGTAATAGCTATTTATAAGATCAGATTTGAAATCTAGGAAAATTCCTTTGACAGCTGAGTGGAGAGAGAACTAGAGTCAGAAAGATCTATAGTGGGGAGAGACTTATGGAAGGCAGACCACCCATCACACTATTGGAAGAGTCCAGGTAGGCAGTGTTGAGGGCATGAAACAGAGTTGTGGCAATGGATGCAGAGAGATGATGGCAAATATGTGATACGAAGTTATATCATCAATATTTGGTAATAGATTGGATATGAGAGGGTGAGAATGAGTGAGGAGTTAAGGATAATACTTCAGGGCCCGGGTGATTGGGAATAAAGTGGTACTCTCAACTGTAATAGGGAAGTTGAAAAGAAGGAAGGGTTTGGGAGAGGGAAGAAGACTCACATGGAGCCATACAAGGACACTCTCAAGGTCTCTCTGAAGAACATTGGTATTGATTGTGAGACAGGGGAGACATCTGCTTAAGGCTGCCCAGCATGGGATGCCAACATCAAAGAATGCATTGTGCTCTCTGAAGAAAGTATGATTGGCAATCGCGGTGGTTCAAAGGAAAGATGGTATGTGCAAATTTAAAGACATCTCCACTTCAAATGTTCATATGAACTATGCGCCTGATCTGTGATAGAACCTTTCAAACTTATGTTGCTCTAATTAGCCACAGCCAGACATAGTGATGTCATGTTGGTCCACTTTCAGCAGGAAACAACAATCTTACTAGTATTTTATTTAAAAATTTTCATTAATATTCATTAGAAAACAGGCCTACAATTTTCTTTCTTGGTTTTTGTTCTCTTTGGCTTAGGTATCAAAACCATATTTGCGTCATATGAACAATTTTATGGGACTATTTTTTTAAAACCTATTTTTCCAAACAATTTATATAATATTGGAATTAATCATTCCTTAAATTTTTGATATAAATTCACTTGTAAATCCATCTGGTCCTATAGTTTTTCTCTCAGGGACATCATTCATGGCTTGTTCAAATGCTTTTTCTCAGATTGAGTTGTTTAACTATATCTTTTTTGTGGTTTTGGAAAATTTATGTTTTTTGAAATGTTCATCTAGTTCACTTAGATTGTTAGATTGTAGCACATAGTGGTTTAAAATTTTTGAATAATTGCCTTACGTTTTTTCTTCATTGGTGGTGAAATTGCCCTTTTCATTTTTTGAGACTGGTAATTTGCTTTTCTTCTTTATTTAAAAAAAAAGTTAGCTGATACTGTAGCAAGATGGTAGAATAGAAGCAGCAACCCAGATGAACGCCCCCAACATTCCCCTTCAAACGACTTTTAAATAACACCTTATTTCAAATTTTGGAGTGGAAGAGCCAACAAAATGTGAGTGAGACATTTTCCAGCCTAAGACAAATTTTGGAGATCAGCAACAGAAGGCTATGACACTGTGGTGGGGGTTTTCCCAGAGCACATGCAGCAGCAGCAGCACTAGCATCAGAGGCTGGCCTTGAAAGTGGGATGACAGCAGCAGATGCAAAGACATCCACTTGAAGTTTGAACCCTAGTGACAGTAAGGGGGAAAGACAACTCTTAATACAGAGATCACAAGGGGCCCTTTGCTAGCACTAGGTGCAGCTGGCATTGCTTAACATCTCTGAATAAACTAGAGATAGAGAGCACAGTTACAAAGGTTCTCTACAAATAAATGTAGCCAAGATCAGGGGGAAAGCAGAAAAGTGGGAAAACAAGTTTTATAGTCAGTTTATCAGACAAAGGTCTCATATAAAAATATTATTTAACCATCAAATCTATAAGAATACAAGTCATTTTATGGCCTTTTTTCAAAAAGGATTTCTTATTGTTCATCTCTTTCTATCACATCTAGACCCTCCTCTGATTTATGATGCCAATAATTATCTGGGGTTTTTTTCTGTATTCTTCATGCTGTTAAATTTCTAATGTATCTATCTGTTCTGGGCTCTGCCCTCTAGGAACTTTCTGCCACTGCCTCATAGGGCTTACTCTCATATATTTCCCTCTTCCAGGGGTGGAGAACTTCTTCCACATGAAAGTCATTAAAATACTTGAAAAGATAGTCATCATGGCTCCTCTAAGCCTTCTCTTCCTGGAATAAACAGCCCCAGTTCTATCAAAATCACTCTTGTATTTTGAGGTTTAAATAGACCTCACAAGCATGGTTGTCCTTATCTGGACCATCTCTAGCTTGCTTATTCCCTTACTAAATTTTATGACTCATAAGTTATAATGACCAGAATTTGTTTAGCACAGCAAAGAGTACAAAGCACTTCAAATGCATTATTTCATTCCATCCTCAGGAGAACCATGACAGTCAGTTGCTATTATTATTCTGATGATGTAGATAAGGTAAGTGAGGCAGAGAAAGGTGGAAAAGGTTGCCCAGGTGACAGAGCCAGTTAGTGAATAAGGCAGGACAACAACTCAGGGCTTCCTGATTTTATCCTCAGTACTTTGTCCACAACATTACACTACCTCAGACCAAAGGCCCAGATTCACAACTGGTCCAAGCAGGGCAGAATGCACTGAGATGGCTCTCCATCATATTCAGGAAATGAACTATGGTATGTAAGTAGAAAATGTCTCATTCCAAGAACTTCCCAAAATAAGTGTAGCAGCAAAATCAGCTGGACCAGATTGTATCTAGAGACCTGAAGATGAGCAATGTCTGCATAAATATCCTGGAAGTGAACAAGTAGAATAAATCTGTTTTAACTCCAGTAATATTATCTGCCCATAGCTGAGAAGAATGACAATCAGTCAGTTTTTTAATCTGGGTAATTCAACAAAATATAAAGGAATTTTAAAATCTGAATCAATCCAGTTAATTTGGCAAAAATCAATTTTGGGCTTAAAATCTCAATAGATTTTTAAAATATTTCATTTTAGGTTATGTTTGCATGGAGACAGTATAGTCCTTAGTGTGAGGGGATGAAGATGACTTTGGGGAGTCATCCTAATATGCTGAAAAATTTTTCCCTCCCCCACATTATCCCAGTGACTGAAATTCCAGAATTACATTCACTATTTCAGGCTGTGAATTGTCTGTTTTTAAGGAATATGTATTTTTTAAAACTAATTTATTTTTAATTTTCAAAAATCACTTCCAGAAGCTTTTGAGTTTTACATTTTCTCCCTCTCTCTCCCCAAGATGACGCGCAAGCTGATATAGTCTCCACCTATACATTCCTATGAAAAATATTTTCACATTAGTCATGTTGTAAAGAAGAACGAGAATCAATAGGAGGAACCACGAGAAAGAAGGAACAAAACAAAACAGAAGAAAAAAAGAGAAAATAGTATGCTTTGATCTGCATTCCAATTCCATAGTTCTTTCTCTGGATGTACATAACATTTTCCATCACGAGACCTTTGGAGATGTCTTAGATCCTTGTATTGTTGGGAAGGATTAACTTTATCAATATTAGACATCACACAACATGGCTGTTATTGTGTACAACGCTCTCTTGGTTCTACTCATTTCACTCAGCATCAGACCATACAAGTCTTTCCAGGTTTCTCTGAAGTCAGCCTGTTCATCATTTCTTATAGCACAATAGCATTCAATTACATTCATATACCACAACTTGCTCAGCCATTCCCCAATTGATGGGCATCCTCTCCATTTCTAACTCTTTGCCACCACAAAAACACCTGCTATGAATATTTTTGTACACGTGGGTCCTTTTCCCATTTGTATAATCTCTTTGGGATTTAGCCCTAGAAGTGCCATTTCTGGGTCAAAGGGTTTGCATATTTTTATAGCCCTTTGGGCATAGTTCCAAATTGCTCTCCAAAATGGTTGGACCTGTTCACAACTCCACAACACTGTGTTAGTGTTCCAATTTTCCTGCATCTTCTCCAACATTTCTTATTTTGCTGCTTTGTCATGTTAGCCAATCTGATAGGTGTGACATGGTACCTCAGAGTTGCTTTGATTTGCATTTCTTTAATCAATAGTGATTTAGAGCATTTTTTATATGACTATAGACAGCTTTAATTTCTTCACTAAAAACTGCCTACTCATATCCTTTGAACATTTGTCAGTTGGGGAATGACTTGTATTCTTTATAAATTTCATTCAGTTCTCATTCTCTCTCTCTCTCTCTCTCTCTCTCTCTCTCCTTCTCTCTCTCTCTCTCTCCCTCCATATATATATTAGAAGTGAGGTCCTTATCAGAGACACTGGCTGTAAAAATTCTTTCCCAGTTTTCTGCTTCCCTCCTAATCTTGGTTGCATTGGCTTGTTTATGCAAAACCTTTTCAATTTAATGTAATCAAAATTTGCCATTTTGCATTTCATAATGTTCACTTTGTCTTCTTTGGTCACAAATTCTTTGTTTTCCACAAATCTGACAGGTAAACTGTTCCGTGCTCTCCCGGTCTGATTATAGTTATCAGCCTTTCTATCAAATCATGTACTCATTTTGACTTTATTTTGGTATGTGGTATAGATTTTGGTCTGTGCCTAGTTTCTGCCATACTCTTTTCCAGTTTTCCCAGCAGTTTTTGTCAAATAGTGAGTTCTTATCTCAGAAGCTGGGGTCTTTGGGTTTATCAAACAGTAGGTTACTTTAGTCATTGACTACTGTGTCTTGTGTACCTAACCTATTCCACTAATCCACCATTCTATTTCTTAGCCAGTACTAAGTAGTTTTCATGATGGCTACTAAGAACATATATTCTTGCCCATATCCTTTTCATTATTGTATTTGCCCTTCATTCTTCAAGAGGACCATGACATGAGTGATCTGATGACATCACTTGCAATTGACTTTGATTTCAGTGAGAGAGGGCTGTGCAAGATCACCAGCCTCACTTTCTCCTCCAGAGCCATCTGAGCCCAGTGGCCAGATATTCATCAACAAGCCTGGAGTTGGCTCAGGATACAATAGGAGACTTTGGTCTAAGTTCTTTTCAGGTTCTCACTTTGAGTGAGATAATGCCCATTCACTGAATTGGCCTCTTTAAGAAATGAGTCAAAGGATGGTCTTTTAATAACAAAACTCAAACTGGGAGGGGAAGACCCTCAGGCTTGTTGACCAAAAGAGAAACACTTATTATTTACAGTCACTCTGAGCTTAGAAGGCCCAAAAGATAGACATTAAGTGGTGCTTGGGCAGAGACCTATTGTTGTCCAATAGCCTTAGGATCCAGCTGGCTATCATAATAATTAAGTGAGATCTGTAGTTTGATGGGTTTAAAGCAGAAGTTTGTACTGACAAAAAGGAACTAATTTAGTAATATGGAGTAGTCCAATGAGTGCAGAGAAGTTTGAGGAGGTAAGCAAGACATGATGGCTTAAAGCAACATATCAATGAAGTCTGGGGCCATTTGTTCTGAGAACTCACAACAGCAGTGTGTGGAGCAGTAGGGCAGTACATTGACTAGACCTTTCCAGAGGCAATGATAGTGGTGATATAATTGCAGTTTTCAGAGCAAAACGTGGAAAATGCAGACGGGTTTGGGTTTGCAAGGCAGCAGGACAGAACAGTGCCAATGTGAAAAGGAGGCAAATGCTTTAAGAATGAATGCACTCTTCCTAAGAATTGAAGTGATAAATGGGAAAATAAAACCTCATCCCTATTCAGGGGATAATGCTTTGGAACAGCTATTCCTATTATAACTATAGAGTAAATTCCCTTTTGTAAAAGTTAACTGATGTTAATACGTTAACTGTCATGGGACATTAATCACTGGTGGTTACCTTTGAGGAGGGCACAATAAAATAGAGGGACTTGAACTAATGGCACTGGAGAGAGAAACCAACAGCTCCTCAGCAACCTGCCTGGAAGCTTGAGGGGTAGATTTAGTCTTCTTAAGAACATGCAAGGATGGGAGTTTGGACAAAGCTTGTAGAGATGACTTCTGTTTTTATTTGCATGCATCTTCTCTCTCCAATTGGGATATAAGGTCCTTCAGAATAGAGAATCATTTTATATCCCTCTGTATTTCAATTTCTCCACATATGATGAAACAGTTATTAGATACTTAATTTAATCATTGTGACAATGGACTGACTTCCTGAACAACTCATAGGTCTTCATTCTGGCAGATTACTGACCTTAAGCACCAGGCAGTGACTGAGATTTCTCTTCTCTTATAGCTCTACTCATTTCTAAAGAAGATCCAATTTAACAACAGTGCAGGTGATCAGGTGTTTATGGATGAGAACAGAAACCCTGAGGCTCAGTATAAAATCCTCAACAATGTAATGTTCAATAAGGATGCTGCAGCTCTACTGAAAGTTGGACAGTTTAACCCTAAGGCTCAGCCTGGTGAAGATTTTACCATCAATGAGGAGGCCACAGTATGGACCTAGACATATACCAGGGGCAGAAACAATTGCAATATCAACCTTACTCTCTAATCATGGCAACACATTTTACCCTCCTTAGCTCACTCCACATTCTTTTTTAGAGGTAGACAATCCTCCTGCATACTGATTTCATTTCCCTTTGTAGGAAACTGCTAGGTGGGAAAAAAAGTCAAATAGGCAATCTATCAGAAGATTTTAAACTTGGGATCATTAGCACTATTGGAGATAGTGGTGGAATGGACATTGAAGCTCATCTTGCTCAGCCCTGTCATTTCTCATAAATAAGACACTGAGACACACAAGGGTGGTGATTGGCCCAGTGTCCTCTGTTCCCAAGGTTTGTGCTTTCATCAAATATCTAGCATTTTTCTGAATGATGACACCCAACTGCTTATGTAAATTCAGTAAAAATAAGCTTACATTTAATCACTAAAGGACCTTACATTTATGGAGCTGAGCAACAAGTTTGACATCTAATTTCTGAAACTCATTGGATTTCTGAACCCAACAAATTCTTTCTCTATGGGATATGGAACTCACCTTTTCAATTATAATGAACAGTCTAATCAGTCTCATCTTTGAGTTACCTATGTCCTGCATCCTTCATGCAGACAGATTAAGTCTATTTCAGATAAGTCACTTCCATTTCCTTCAGTCACTTGGATCATAACTATTAAAAAGCCATAGCTGATACTGAGAATTACAAAATGCTAAAAAATAAGGACTGTGGGGTAGCATTGTATTCAAATTCCTCTGCTTAGAAATGACTAAAATCGACAAAATTTAAAAGGTTCAGTCAGTTTCCCACAGCTAGTGGCAGAAATGGGACTAGCACCCAGGTCTCTGTTTTCCACCCAGTGCTCCTTCTGCCTCATGCTCCATTGCCATATGAACAATTCTCTTATTTCTCTTATAAAATAAGATCACTTTGCCCCAAATCAGTATCATTCACCTTCTGATAATGACACACATCCTCTCTCTCCTGTTTATTATGAGAGCCATCATGCCTTTTTACTCCCCTGTCACTAGGTTCCCTGTGCCACATGCAGTGAGAGCTGTCAGCCTGGATTCAGGCAAACCCCTCTGGAGAGATAGCCCATCTGCTGTTTCAACTGCTCCCTGTGCCCTGAGGGAGTGATTTGTAATCAGATGACTAAGTGCCTGCAGGTAGCTTTCCTCCTCCATCCCTTGAAGAGAATAAACTAATGTTGTACTCTAAGGTCACAAACAACCTCATCACTGTCTGTGCAATAGGATATCCAGGAGCAAGGTGAGTCAGCAATGAGTTCTGGCCAAGGACAAGTGGATTGGATTAATGATACATGGTTAAAACATGGTGTCCACCTTTACTGTACTATTAAAAATGGGACCTACAAAATAAAAAAGTAGTTACCTTGCACTATCTCTTGTAGAATGTTATTTTATGGTCTTTTTAGGGTTTCACATGCAATGGAATAGTGTTAGCTAGAGTGCGGAGGAGTATGTACTCTGCAAAATATGTGTGACGAAGGGAAGCTGAGTTCATATGTGTTGGATACATTCATTAGGAACTTTAGACAAGTGTTGGTTTGGGAGGAAATGAGTACCCATGGTATATGGTGGATATTCTGTCATCCCAACCCCTTGCTGTATTTTAAAATTAAAATTTGATAAATGATCTAGAAAGGGAAGTCTATCATGAATTCTGTGGAAGAGACTCTGTATTCCCTCCAAGCCATCTGTCACAGAAGACCTTGACCTTCTTTTCAGAGTCAGTGTGGACTGGGTTACCTGGGTCATTGACTATGCAACTTCACTAGTGTGACACCCTATTATATATTTATAGACTGTGAAAGTGTCACACTCCAATACTAAAAACATTTAAGATTTTAAACAATGTAAACAATCAGTGAAAGGTCACATGTTAGAATCATTTTGGCCTCTGCACACTAATGACTTCATAGTACTAAACCTCATGAGATGAGCACAGGATTAGAGGATGAGAGGGAAGGGTCCTCCACAGTGGATGGGAAATAATACACCTGGGAATGACTAATAGTTCAATGGGGAAATTTTTTCTTAAGTACTTGAGAAGGTTGGGGTAAGGAAACTCAATAATTCTACTGATATGACTTCAGTGGTTGCCACTGATATCTAGTACATTTCATGGGGCTAGATGGACTGACCAAGGTGTCAGCTCCCTTCTTCTGGGTTCAAACTCTTCCATTTTTCTTCCCATCTGTTGCATCTGTTTTTCTTGACTTACATTGATCCATAGAGGAGGCAAACAGTCCATGGAATACTAAAAGCAATTACAATTTTCTTTTCTTTTTCTTGTGGCAATCCAGGGTAAGTGACTTGCCAGGGTCACACAGCTAAAAAGTGTTGGAGGCCAGATTTGAACTCAGGTCTTCCTCATACCAGGGATGTTTACAAGATTCCCTGAGCCAAAGAAGGGAGAACTAGTCTGTGACCAAGTCTAGGACTCAACACTCTACTCTTGTGCAACCAATGCATGACATTGAAGAGGCTTATTTGGAATAGTCTCTCCTCTCTCCACTACCAAAAACGAGTTATTCTGAGCCCAACTATGGCCTTCAAATCATACAGGTTCCTGAAAATGAGGATAATCCCCTCAACAACCCCAATCCAGTGTCCTGTCTCATATAGAATGTTTCAAGGTGGAGCCAAGATGGCGGAGTGAAAGCAGTGACTTGCTTGAGCTCTCCCCCAAAGCCCTCCAAATACCTATAAAAAATGGCTCTAAAGAAATTCTCAAGCAGCAGAACCCACAAAAAGACAGAGTGAAGAAAATTTCCAGCCCAAGACAACCTAGATGGTTGATCAGAAAGGTATATAGCACAGGGATGGGAGAGGAGCTCAGTGTCGCATGGGTGTGCATAACATAGTGAACCTGGATCAGGCCTCAGACGACTGAATCAGGGCGGCTGTGGTGGTTTCCAGACCTCTCAACCCAGGAAAACCAAAGATAACTTAGAAGGTCAGTGGGAAAAGGCTGTTTAGGAGGGGGGAGAGAAGGTAGGTCTCAGAGCAGTTGCAGAGTGCAGAACACTGAGCACCAGTCCCTGGGCAGTGGCTGTGTCCTGAGCTTCCAGCCCACAGACTGAGGGGGAATCGAGTGGCTGATCAGAGGGGGACTGCAGGGATCTCTTTGCCAGTGCCGAGGCAGGAATCTCTTGCTTTGCTCATGCTTGGATCTGGGTCACAGTTCTGGCTGGCAGTCCTAGGGCAAGGCATGGTGCTGGCGTGGTGGACCTTGTCGTGACTGCAGAAAGAAAACCATCCTCACAGCTCCAGGACAGAAAGGAGTGCTTCTGGTCACTAACAGACTAGACCATAGGCCAGGAAAAGAGTAAACACCTCATCCATTATCATACCACCTTGCAAGAACTGAAAATTTACAGGTCTCTACAAGTATCTCTGAAAACAGCTATACAAACCCCGAAGCTTGGGACAGCACATTCTCCACATTGGAAGCAGACTCTTACCTTAACAAAGAGTTTATAACTCAAATAATTGGCCGTGATCATGAGCAAGCAGTGCAAAAACAGTCAGACCATATTATCTTACTTTGGTGACAAAGAAGATTAAAACATACAACCAGAAGAAGGCAACGCAGTCAAAGCTCCTACATACAAAGCCTCCAAGAAAAATATGAATTGGTCCCAGGCCTTGGAAGAGCTCAAAAGGCATTTTAAGAAGCAAGTAAGAGAAGTAGAGGAAAAGTTGGGAAGACAAATGAGAGAGATGCAAGAAAATCATGAAAAACAAGTCAACAGCTTGCTAAAGGAGACCCAAAAAAATACTGAAGAAAATAACACCTTAAAAAATAGCCTAACTCAAATGGCAAAAGAGGTTCAAAAAGCCAATGAGGAGAAGAATGCCCTAAAAAGAAAAATTGGTCAAATGGAAAAGGAAGTCCAAAAATACTAAAGAAAATACTTCCTTAAAAATTAGAATAGAGCAATTGGAAGCTAGAGACTTTATGAGAAATCAATATTATAGAACAAATCCAAAAAATGAAAAAATAGAAGACAATGTGAAATATCTCATTGGAAAAACAACTGACCTGGAAAATAGATCCAGGAGAGAGAATTTTTAAATTATTGGACTGTCTGAAAGCCATGATCAAAAAAAAACAGAGCCTAGACATCATCTTTCAGGAAATTATCAAGGAAAACTGCCCTGATATTTTAGTACCAGAGGGCAAAATAGAAATCGAAAGAATCCATCAATCTCCTCCTGAAAGAGCTCCCCAAACGAAAACTCCTAGGAATATTGTAGCCAAATTACAGAGTTCCCAGGTCAAGGAGAACATACTACAAGCTGCCAGAAGGAAACAGTTCAAGTACTGTGGGAACACAATCAGGATAACACAAGATTTAGCAGCTTCTACATTGAAGGACCGCAGGGCATGGAATATAATATTCCGGAGGGCAAAGGAGATAGGATTACAGCCAAGAATCACCTACCCAGCAAAACTCAGTATAATACTTCAAGGGAAAAAATGGTCATTCATTGAAATAGAGGACTTTCAAGCATTCTTGATGAGAAGACCAGAGCTGAATAGAAAATTTCACTTTCAAATACAAGCTCAAGTGGAACACGAAGAGGTAAACAGGAAAGCGAAATCATAAGAGACTTATTAAGGTTGAACTTTTTACATTCCTGCATGGAAAGAAGATATTTATAACTCATGAGACCTTTGTCAGCATTAGGGTAGTTGGAGGGGGAAAAATTACATCTATGTAGATAATAGATAGATAGATAGATAGATAGATAGATAGATAGATAGATAGATAGATAGAGAGATAGACAGATGGCACAGGGTGAGTTGAAGATTAAGGGGTCATATCTGGAGAATAAAATTAAGGGATGAGAGAGGATTATAGTAGGACAAGAAGAAAGGAGAGGCAGAATGGGGTAAATTATCTCACAAAAGAAAAGAAAGGTCTTACAGTGGAGGGGAAATGGGGAAGATGAAGAGAATGAGTGAATCTTATTCTCATAGGATTTGGCTTAAGGAGGGAATAACATACACATTCAATTGGGTATGGAAATCTATCTTACCCTACAGGAAAATAGGGGGAGAAGGGGACAAGACAGCAGGGGGATGATAGAAAGAGGGCAGATTGGGAAAGGGGGTAACAGAAGCAAATGCTTCTGAGGAGGGACAGGGTCAAAAGAAAGAATAGAATAAATGGGAGGGCAGGATAGGATTAAGGGAAATAGAGTTCGTTTTTCACAACATGTCTACTATGGAAGTGTTTTGCATAACTGCACATGTATAACCTATGTTGAGTTGCTTGCCTTTCCAATGAGGGTGGGTGGGGAGGGAGGAAGGGAGAAAATTTGGAACCCAAAGTTTTAAAAAACATGTTTAAAAAAATGTTTTCACATGCAACTGGGAAATAAGAAATACAGGAAATGGGGTACAGAAGTCTATCCTGCCCTACAAGAAAATAGAAGGGGAAGGGGCTAAGAGAAGGGGGGGAGAGATAGAAGAGAGGGCAGACTAGGGGAAGGGATATTCAGAATGCATGCCATCTTGGGGTGGGGGGAGGGGCGAGATGGGGTGAAAATTTAGAACTCAAAATCTTGTGGAAGTAAATGTTGAAAACTAAAAATAAATAAATTTATATTAAAAAGAAAGAAATGTTTCCATGCATCAATTACACCTAGTGAACAGTTGAGGTGTATTGTCACCAGATCAAGGAATCAGGGAGTAACTCATTGTCATTTAATTTATTAAGGGTGGATAACTTGACTGATTTACTCATTTGGCTCCAACTTACACTGACATATGGAAATGAATAAATTCAGGAAAAGATGAGATGTTGTACTATTACCTATATCCTATTAGAAGGTAAGGCCCCTATCTGCAGGTATCGCTTAATTCTTTCAGTTTACAACTTAAATATCTGGCCCACAGCAGATACTGAACTGTTGATTTATAGCTTTGTATGTAGCAAACTTATCATACCATCTCAATGTAGAGTTATTGCTATAACATAATGGAGTCAGAAAGAATTGAGAGAAGGAAGGGCTCCACTTTCTATGTCATTGTACTATAACAATAGACCCATAGGAAAAGCTTGTATTCAATTAGGAAATCTGAATACTAGAAAAACAAAGTCAAATTTAACACTAATGAGTATAGATAGAATAAGCCAGGACTGGGCACTAGGTTACTTTTCAATGACCATCTCCTAGCACAGAAAGAGCTATTATGTTTTCTGAAGAAAGCAATAACTTTTTTGAGCAATTTTACCTATTTTCTGTATATGGGGGTGGGAAAAATTTGTTACATTTAAAATCCTAAGACCTTGTTTGTCTCTTGCAGATATGAAGCATTGTGTGAAGTGCCCAGAAGATGAGTATTCCAATAAGGAAAGAAATCAATGCCTCCCCAAGGGTATGACTTACCTGGACATTTCAGAACCTTTGGGGATGACTCTGATCTGTGTGGGCTCTTTCCTTTTCTCTAATGACATCTTTAATTCTCTGGGTATTTGCAACTGGATGAGTAATTTTGCAATTTAAAGACATCCCCATTGTAAAAGCCAACAACCGGGCTCTCAGCTATACTCTCCTCATCTCCCTCATCTTCTGTTTCCTCTGCTCCCTGCTCTTCATTGGCCGTCCTACTTCAGTCACCTGCCTCCTCTGACAAACGACATTTGGAGTTGTGTTTACTGTAGCCATGTCCTCCATTTTGGCCAAAACCATCACGGTTGTCTTGGCCTTTAGGGTTACAATACCAGGGAGCAGGAGCAGGCTATAGGTGCAATCCAGGGTCTCTAACTCTGTTGCCATTATCTGTTCTGGGATTCAAGGGGTTCTCTGTGCCACCTAGCTGGGAACCTCTCCCCCTTTCCTGATGTGGACCCATTCTCTCTGAACCTGGCCACATCATCATGAAGTGCAATGAGGGCTCTGACTTTGCCTTCTACTCTGTCCTGGGCTACATGGAATTCCTATCACTGTGCAGCTTCACGGTGGCTTTCCTGGCCTGGAGCCTGCCTGACACCTTCAATGAAGCCAAGTTCATCACATTCAGCATGTTGGTGTTCTGCAGCGTGTGGGTCTCCTTACTCCCCACATATTAGAGTGCCAAGGGCAAGGCCAGGGTTACTGTGGAAATCTTCTCCATCCTGGCATCCAGTGATGGCTTACTGAACTGCATCTTTATTTCCAAGTGTTACACGATCCTGCTGAGGCCTGACAAAAACACCCAGGAAAATATCAAGAATACAGTGAGCTCCACGGGCAGGAACCTTTCTGGATCATTGCCTGCTAATTCCTCCCAGAGGTATAATCAATTTTAAATATAAGCATACCAATAAGAGAGGGGCCCTGGGAAATTTTGCCTCTTCTCTGCTGTTTAGGACCTTAGAATTCTACACCATACCTCCTTCTATTTATGCCTGCCCTCAGATGAGTTTTCTGACCATTTCCAAGACATGGACACCACAGCTTATGATGAAGTCATCACAGAACAATGACACTGACATTTCTAATCACCTGTCTCCTTTAGCAGACATCTTGCTATTCACTGATGTCATTTCTAGACTACGAATAAAATGTTTTGGACACCTTCGTCCTCTTATGTTAATATCACTTATACTGAAGTGACAGCTTCCAAATAGTAGCCCCCTCATCAATATCATATGTTTCCTTCCTAATTGTCGTCTTCCTCAATTCTCACATCAGTATCTACTCAATATTTGATACCACATTCCCTGCATTCCTTGGAATGCCTGCTGCATATTTTATAAACTTTCTTTCATCTTAAACTTCAAACTTCTCACTCCTTTCCTGTTCTAACACTCACTAAGACCTGCTTCCTTCCACATGAAACTCATTCCTTCATCACACATTCTAGTACAAGCTACACTTTCTCTCACATTCCTCCCTCCCACCAATACCTAATTAATTTTTGGAGTGGCTGTTTCAGAGCATTTTTTGCTCCACACTGCTGCTCCTTGGCTTTCAGTCAACATCTGTCATTCAGCAATTTCTCTCTCTCTCTGTCTCTGTCTCTCTGTCTCTCTCTCTGTCTCTCTCTCTCTGTCTCTCTCTCTGTCTCTCTCTCTCTCTCTTTCTCTCTCTCTCTCTCTCTCTCTCTCTCTCTCTCTCTCTCTCTCTCTCTCTCTCTCTCTCTCCCCTTTGATGTCCATATTATGCAAAATCAATCATTGAATCTCCATTTCCATGGCTGTTATATGACATTATCCCTGCCTTGAACATTTTCCCTTCTTCATTACTGAATCCAGTGCTTCACTCACTTTTGTTTTTCTTGCATCTCAATTCCTTATACTACTCCATTTGGTTTCAAAAGACCTGTTGATAATTCCTTTAATGCCATAACTCATCAATTCCTCAGTTTTCATAGTCTGTTTCTAAACTCCACCTCACCTATAAAAAGAGACAGTAACTACTCCTGTCTTGCTGACATCCATAAGTTTTACACTCATTTGTGAACTGCAATTCCTTCATCTGAATGTATTCTTTTGGTTTTATTTGTACCACAAAGTTTAATTCCTTTATTTTTAAATCTTATTTTTATTTTCAGTTAAAAATTCACTTCTTCCCTCCATCCCTCCTGCATGTATTGAGAAGGCAAAACATATTATACGTGTTGTACTATGAACCCAAAAAGATATTTTCACTTTAGCTGCATTCCAAAAAAGCAAGAATAATAAATAGGAAAAAAATGCTTTAATCTATTTTCTGAATCTATATTTTCTCTATCCAGAGGTGGATAAACTTTTTTTCTTTAACAGTCCTTTGCAATTGTGGTGAATTATTGCATTGCCCAGAGTTTTTAACTCTTTCAGGGTTTATTATCTTTACAATATTGCTACTACTGTGTACACTGCTCTCCTGGTTCTTCTCACTTCATTTTGCATCAGTTCATACAAATCTAGGTTTTTCTGAAACCATGCCTTTCCTCATTTCTTATGGCATAAAAGTATTGTTCCAGAGTCTTCCAGTGCCAAGATGGAGGAGTGAGGAAGGAACCCTCTGGAGCCCTTCCAAATTCTCCTGCAAACAAGGAGAAAACCACCTCAGAATTGATGTAGGAGCAGGAACGCAGCTTAGCAGCATGGCAGGAAAGGTCTGTCTCACTGGTGTGGGAATGGAGCAAGGTCCAAGAGCAGCAACAGAAGACAACCTCATAGTAGGGGACCTTCATCAAGGCGCCAAGCCTGAGGCAATCCACCAGGGATCCCCCATCTTCCTACAAAGTAGCAGCTCCCTACGCTAGTGAGCAGTCTGTGCAGCATAGCATGTCCCCACCCTTGCAACACTACCCCCAGCTACTAGTGAGGCTTTGACCCCACTGAAGTAGAGAAACCCTATCCTGAGGCTGGCCAACAACAAGACCCACCTCTGAGTTCAACCAGTATAGAGACCCTGGTTCCACAGCAACCTAGTGGCAGGCCCCATCCATGGGGCACATCAGCAGCAAAATTACTTCTCCAGGGCCAGCCACCAGAAACACTTTGTTATCACAGCACCCCAACAGTAAGGCTCCACCTTTGCAGCACGACCGCAGCTAAATCCTACCCCTACATGAGGCCAAAGGGGATGTCCCACACTCTAGTACAAGCAAAAAGGGAAGCCTACCCTTCTCAGAGAAAGCAATCAGCTAAGCATGAAGCCCAGTGAAAGCCAGCAGTAAGACACAGAACCAGAGCCCAACTTACACATAAAAACTCCAAGTCACAAAAAAGGGCACAATACATGAACAAAAAAGACCAAAGAAAGAAAAACTTGAATATAGAAAGTTACTATGGTGATACATAGGATCAAGGCATAAACTTAGAAGAAGACAATAGTGTCAAAATGGCTATATGTGAAACCTCAAAGAAAAATGTAATTTGGTCTCAGGCCAAAAACAGTTCTTGGAAGAGGTTTGAAAGCATCTAAAAAACAAATGAATAAAGTGGAAGACAAATTTGGGAAAGAAATGAAAATAATGGACTGAAAATCAAGAAAAAAGAGTCAACTTGCTGGTACAGATTGAGACATGAGTAATGCCTCTAGAGGTGAACTAGTTGAATCATCTGTGTTCCTAATCGCTACCTGAGATCATCAGATTGACAGGCTGAGAGCAAGTGTCTGTAGCAACCAACAAGGGAACAACCGTGGCAGCATGAGCAATATCTTGTGAAGACTGCTCTGGGCAGGATGCTGAGACCTAGATTGCAGCTCAAGTTTTAACGTGCTATTTACTACATACAAAGCTCTATACTCTGAACCTCAGTTTCCTAATTTGTAATATGAATAATAATTGCTCCTACCTCCCATGGTTGATGTGAGGATCAAGTGGGATTGTTTTCAACTGCTTTGCAAACAATAAAATGCTACCCCAGTGTGAGCTTTTATTATTGCCTCTTCATGCATATTCAGAGGTCTAAGGCAGGAAAGAGGCTCCTCCACATTATTTCCAAACAGAATTATAGAGCTCTGCATTTATGATTTTTAATAGCACATTTTTAATTAATAACACATTTCCACTTGTTCTTTTAGAGAAAAATTGAATGTATCTCAGTACAAATGATCAGAACATTCTTCTTCCTTAATGTTCTCTGTGCATTGACCACCTCCCCTTTCAGAGTGAGTCAAAGTTACCAATTGTGAAACAGCAACAAATTCTTCACTTTGCCCCAGAATCTGTGAAGTAATATAATGAATAAAAAACATTTGTGAGACTCATTTTGTACTAAGAACAATGCTAAACACCTGCAATGGAAATACAAAAGTGATACTATTCATGTCCTCAAATTGTCATCATTCTAATAATAGCGGATGATGACACATGGAAGGAAGATATGCCTGTGGGAAGGCAGGTAAGGGAGTTTTGATCTGAGGAGTCACAAGAATGGGAAGTATAACAAAGTAGTGTTTCTATAACAAGCCCTTTGAAAGACAGTAGTAGTGGGGAATTGATTGCATTTCTCAAGGAAGAAATGGAAGGGAGCAGATGGATCCCAAAGCATCAGGGCAGAACATGGTGACAGTGAACAGGAGGCTGCATGGTCCCAGAGCTCAGCCACCAATCTCTCCTCAGGCATGGCTCCTTGGGAGTTTGTGCCCTGAGCTTCCCTGTCAACACAGCTCCTTTTTGTGGTCAGGTTTTCTTTTTGTGGCTGTTTTCTCATTTTTACAGCCAATTTTTGATTTTGGATTTTTAGTTAGAGGTGGGATCTGCTCACCTGGCTGGGGGGGAGGAGTCACTGGCCTGAGCTTCAGACTTTTTCACCCTGATGTTTTCATAGCGAGCTCAGGAGGTCTGTAATTTTTTAGTGCTTCTAAGGTAATATGATCCAGCTACAGTTGTGGTTACCACTCTTCTCACTTACACTCTTGTCCTTACCCAAGTATGGTCTCTACTCTCTGGTGAGCACCACTGCTCTCCTCCCCAGATCTAAGACCTGTACCAGGCAGGGCCACTACTCC